CCTGATTAGTCCCACATCGAAAGTGGGCAGGATTAAGATTGACTTATAAGGGTCTGATGAGTGTACTACTATCAACTTCAGCTTAAGCATTTTGGTCAGTGGATTAGATCAAACGAAGTTGATAGGCCAGTTAGCCTATCAGGCCCGAGTCATAATAAAAAGACAAACTATTTTTCTCTTAAAGAACTCATAGGGTCATTAATAACCTATGAAATGACTTGTATGACACATGACGAACATGACAACAACCTTTCAAAGAACAAGAAGGATATGACACTTAGAACAAAAAAAGACCACTCAAGTGAAAGCTCAAGTGATGATGACTTTGAACTTCTCATAAGAAAATTCAAAAAATTCATAAAACAAGAAATAGAGAACAAAAACGTACTTAAAAATAACATAATAACTTACTATGAATACAAAAGGCCAGGGCACTTCAAAAGTGAATGTCCACAACCAAAGAAGAAGATGCTCACACATCAAAAGAAAAAAAGCACTCGAGGTGACTTTGGATGAATCAAGTGCATCAGAAGACCTAAAATTTGAGTCAAGCAATGGCACCGTCAGACCAAGCGATGGAATCGCCTATGAGGTGGAATGTATGAAATGTATGATTCCAAAAGATCTGACGGTGGCACCGTTAGTGTTAGGCGATGGTACCGCCTAGATTGGGTGGTGGTGTTCAGAAATCTGGGGTGACATCACATGCATAGCGAAAGAACAAAAACAAAAATTACATATTTCTCATAGAAAAAAGGTTTCTTATCGTCGTGCAAAAATTGGTGCGCAAAAAGTCGCGTAACAAAAAACTACGCGTAAGATAATTACCTAGGGAGATTGTATATCCCTGAATTTTTGTATATCTGTGGGAGAGGATGAAGGAGGTCAAGTGCTCTCCTCTCTAGCAGTGATCCACATGGCAAGGGCTACAAAGACGCTCCTCAAATCGATGTTCAAAACTCCTCGTTGCACGCACCATGTAATCAAGAAGAGGTCGGCGCTTCTTGTTGTCCATACGCTCCAAACAAGGGTTGCTGGCTGAGGAGGAGAGGGGGAGAGGAGAATAAGAGGTGGCAGCCAAAAAGCCTAACCTATAGCCATTTGGTTCCCTCCTATTTATAAAGGTCCCCTATCAACTTAACCTTAATAGATCATACCCTATTGGGTATTGGATCTCCATCCAATTACCCAAGTCTCTTAGATTAGTGGGTCTCTACCCAATAATCTCTTATTAACTCTTATTGGATTTTATTTATGGCATCCAATAATTTATGGGCTTAATGGATATCCAATAAGATAGGGGTTCCGACGGATATCTCATATTCGAACCTCTACTCATCACAACCTACAATATGTATATGACCCTCTAGGCTCAATATCGAGCTAACCATGAGTCATACCTATCAAAACTCCTTCTGACTCAATGAATTATTATCTTCATAATAATTCACTCAAATCATCGACTATGGACGTACTAGGCCACTACGTTGCAGTCTCAAACGATACAAGGGAATCCAATCCTTTGGACCTATCAGTCTTTAGTTACCATGTACTTATAGTCCCTCATCCATCTAATATCCCAGAGATTATATACCAGGCATGATGTTGTCAGACCCATATGATTTCTCCTCAAGTCTCGCTCTAATCATATTCTCCTGGAGAACTCTTTCTCTATCAATCTGAATGACCTTAGCTAAGGATTTTGTCTGAGCAAGAACACATGGGATATTCCTCTCATGATACCGAGAGTAAATGATCCTCTATTGATACTCAATAGCCATCGTAAGGTTGGTTGTCACTCCCGATGACTAGCTGTACTAGATCTGGAACTTCCAATCCTATAAGTCTAGTATCAAAGAGTTGAGTACTCATACAAGACATCCATGGTATCTCAAGTCTAAGGACCAGGTATACCACTAAGACGACGCAATCGTTATTTGACAATAAAGTATCTTCAACCATCCAGCATTCTATGAGCAGATCGATCAGTGAACTCATTATCCAATGAGCACCTGCACTATAGCCCTAGTGTCCCCACATGAGCAACTATGAGACCAGTCGCCTCCATCATATGGAGGGGTATACAATACATCAGTTTGTCCAATTGTCTCGATGTCTTTCTTGAATAACCTATGACCAGGATTATTTAGGGTATGTGTTTAAAGGTGAATCGATCTCATTATTGTGATCTTATCACGATCCGATTCTTATTACACAAATCCATGGACATCATAATATATTTATGCAACAAGCAATATAATGTGAGAAATTATCATAATAATAATAAGCAAAAAGAGTGCATATCATGTCACACGTGCCATCACTCACGTGATTGGCTTATAGGGCACCTATGACTAGCAGGTGGTATCGTCAGTACACTGCACTACAGGCGGTGGTACCGCTAGTATCCCGAAAGCTAGTTGAGGTCTATAAATACCGTAATTATTCATGCTTGGGTAAGCAAGAAATAGAATAGAAAGGCGGAAAGAATCCTTGAGAAAAAAGTATTGTAATCTCTTTTAAAGTTTAGAGTCTCTTCCTCCTAGAGTTAGAAGTTTTATAAGAGAGGAGTGAGGTCTTGTGTAAAAGAGAGGTGTCAAGATTCTCTCTTGAGCTTGTGAAAAAGAGAAAGTTGTAAAGAGGGTAGCTGATCTCTACTCGTTGAAAGAAGATCGTTGGTAAATGGCGGTAGTCTCGATAGAAGAGGAATCGGGAGTGGACATAGGTCACGACGACCGAACCACTATAAATTCGGTGTACATTTTTATTCTGCTTTTCATTATAAATTTAATTATATGGTATTCCCACTTACATTTTAAGTTAAATATATTTTTTACATAGGTTTGATCGAACAAAATTTTAATAAAAGCATTAATTTATCCTCCTCTATTAGTGATCGTTTTCGATCATAAACCCATCAACATGGCTTTATCCGTTGGGAGTACTATCAAAAATAAATGAAATAAGAGTCTTCTTGATTCAAACTTTAGCTCGTCTTTAGTGTGTAGTAGGTGACTAGTTTGCTTAAAGATCAACCTGATTTCCTCGAAGCTTTTTCCTTCTTGTAGAGCATTCACAAGTTCAGTTCAGTTTTCTCCATGATTGATCTCATCTGTTCGAAGGATTCATGGATGACCTTAAAGATGGGTTCTATTCTAGGCGATTAAATTTTTTATATTTTCCGGTGGCCTTACTTGTTAAAAGTTTTAATGCTTTTTCATGATCGACGTTGTTCTTCTTGGAAATTTTTCGAACAAAAACATTCACAAGTTATTGGGAATGATACTTAAAATTGTATCATGTTGGACTCATTTTTGTATAATGAAGATCACGTAATTCTTTATATTTATTATGCGATGATATCTTGAGTTTTATTGCATATTCACAAGCAGGAGCTTCTTCTTTTTTCACCCGAGATAGTTTCAAGGCTTTTTAGGAATCATAATACGGTGATTTCTCCTTTGTTTCTTCCTCTTCCAATTTTTTTTCTTTTTTTGGCTTTTTGTAATGCATCGTAATTGAAAGAAATATTTTGAAATATTACTAGAATATTTCTTTAGTATTTATCCTTCATCGTTATGATTGATTGAATATTGCTCCTATCAATAACACCGATTTTTCTAATATTGAAACGTATCAATATTATCTGAGATATTTGAATTTTGAAAAGGATATTTGATCTTTTTTTTACTACAAAAATTCAACAGAAGATATGTTGTTGTGATTATTATCCTCTTCCTTACTCTTTGACTAAATTATAAAATATTTTATGATTTTATTGACATATTGTTCATTTTATGAAAAGAATTTTATCAGAATTAAGTTAAAATAGAGATGAACTTATTTGGATTTAAATAAAAATAAAAAAAAATAAAAACCAAATGAAACCCAACAAAATCCCAAGAACTAGAAACAACCATAACAGCCTTTCTCCCCAAGAAACACTCTCCTTTGTCCTCTCCTTCACACCCACATCCCTTGCGCCCGAAGCAAGCATTTCCCTCCCTCTCATCTATCAAATCAGGCGAATCGATGGTGTGGATCCAGCAAGAGAATGAATCGGACGGCAGATCGAGTACCACGCAGGAGTCGTCGTTGTTCTCGTGGAGGAACGCGTTGCTGTAGCATTGCCACGTCGCCCTCCCCCTTATCCACCACGAATCCCCTCACCGCCCTCTCTTACCATAAAGCCCCCGCGGCCGACACTCCACCATCCCGTATCGAGCTTCGCAGCAGCGGCAATGGGGAAGACGGCGAAGGAGATGACAGTGGTGAAGGGGGTCGACCTGGAGCGGTACATGGGGCGGTGGTACGAGATCGCCTCCATCCCCTCCCGCTTCCAGCCGCGGGACGGGGCCAACACGCGCGCCACCTACACGCTGCGCTCCGACGGCACCGTCCACGTCCTCAACGAGACCTGGAGCGGCGGCCGGCGCGGATCAATCGAGGGCACCGCCTACAGGGCCGACCCCGCCAGCGACGATGCCAAGCTCAAGGTCAAGTTCTACGTGCCCCCCTTCTTCCCCATCTTCCCCGTCGTCGGCGACTACTGGGTGCTCTACCTCGACGACGACTATCAGTACGCCCTCATCGGCCAGCCTTCCCGCACTTACCTCTGGGTACGCAGTTTTCTCTCCTCCTCATCGTCTTCTTCCCACATTCTCGAATTCCATGGATTGATTAGGGTTCTTTCTGGATTTTTGCTCACCATGAACAAAAATCCCTTCTTTTTACTTGCTGATGGTTGGAAATGGGATTTCATGACGGAGACATGTTCGATTACTGGTATTATCATATGAGACATGACAAATTGGTCCTCTCCTCCTCATCTTCTTCTTCTCACATTCTCGAATCCTATGGATTTATTAGGGTTTTTTTGTGGGTTTTTGTCACCATGAACAAAACTCTCTCCTTTTTACTTGCTGATAGTTGGAAATGGGATTTCATGACGGAGACATGTTCGATTACTGGTATTATCATCTGAGACTTGACAAATTAGTCCTCTCTTCCTCGTCTTCTTCTTCCCACATTCTCGAATTCCTTGGATTGATTAGGGTTCTTTGTGGGTTTTCGCTCACCATGAACAAAAATCTCTCCTTTTTTACTTTGTTGATGGTTTGATTACTAGTATTGGTAGAATATAGCTATGATGTTGGTGGATTTGGGGGAAATTTAGTTCTGGGCCTTAAAAATTTTAGTTTTGGACCTGTCCCTATCAAAACATCTCGTATGATCTTATGAGAGATTTAGGTATCTTTATCGATAGATTACGTATCTCTATCAAAACAGATCAGAGAGACGATATACCAACCGCTCGATTGTGTGGTTTGGTACTGTTGACCTCTCTCTTGCCGTCGAGAGAGATCCACCGGTCAAATGATGAACAACCAGTATCAGCTAAGCTAAGTCTCCGTGAGTCTCATGTAAAAGACATTACAAGATGTAAACATAATAACATGGCTTAGATATGGACAGTAGTGTTGTGAAGCAAAAAACACAGTAACTACCTACAGATGGTTCAAACCTGGAAGATGTGAACACAAGATTTACTATTATTATTATTTTAATTTGTTATTATTATCATGTAACTTCAATGCATAAACAGATGCGTGTGTTATTATTGTTATCATCACTTATATTGTAGCATTGTTACACCAAATGTTGTCTATATGAATCCGTGTCATCACTTCCTATTTGAAATTGTGTTTGGGATGGTATCACAGATACTGTGCAGGCAAACACACATGGATGAGGAGGTATACATCATGCTGTTAGAGAAGGCTAAGGAAGAAGGTTATGATGTGCAGAAACTGCACAAAACACCTCAAGCAGATCCTCCTCCAGAAGAGGAGTCAGCTCCTGAGGACAAGAAAGGCATCTGGTGGATCAAATCCCTGCTTGGCAAATGAATCAAGCCATTTCTTTGAATAAAATGGCATTAGGTGGTCTAGTCCATATGTTGTTGCATGTCATCGGTTTTTTTGTTTCAATGTGTGCCATAATAGTGTCCTCATGTATGTTAAAAAAAATTGCTTTCGGTTTCTTGGGTGCGATATATTTCACTTGTATATTTTTTTTATATGATTATGATGTACAACAGATGGGATCATGTGAAATATATATATATATATATATATATATATATATATATATATATATATATATATAATGGACTAAAACACATCAAACTCTGATTTCATAAAACAAAACATAAGTCAAACCAATAATGTAGATGCTGGGGGAATTAAAACGAATAGTCAACTTTGCATAAATCACGAAACATCAAGAGGCTAAGACAAAATAAATTACCTTTTTAATTCGATCAAAACAATTCGGCAGAATTTTGGTGTATTAGCACACAATTCCTTCCGATCCAGACAATTGTTCCTAGCTAGAGCACAAGCTGCAACTTGATACCACGTTTCGCTAATGGAAACAGAAGGCGAAAATTAGCCTGGCAATAAAAAAGGGTTGATTTACAGAACACCTTTTTGACTAAAAGTTCGCGTGAGCCAATCCCTGCCCTGAAAAGTCAATACACAATAAAAAAAAATTTGGAATTATAAATTTGTGACATACTAATTTATACCGCCAAACCAGATAGTTTCGTCTGTTAATGTCCCAAAATGATGAAATAGTAAACTTGAAAGAATTGGCTGACTTACAGATAAAGAGTAAAGGCCTTTGTATCTGATCTTTGAGTAGATCGAATCTCTTTCCAAGATGTATTTAAGATGGTTGATGGTAAGAACCATTTACCAATCAGATCAGCAAACTTGTATCTGATTTTTGGCAGCATCTCTTATGCCACTTCTACTAAAATTGTTTCTTAATTTAGATCTCTCAGCAAGATCAAAGATGAAAAATGCACCGCTTAAGTCTCTTGAAAGAATAAACTTCACAAGTGGCCCGCATCCATCCTCAGCAGATGTAGCTGTCTCAACTAATTTAGAAAAAGAAATGCAGGACGAGATGTAATTTCCAGAAACCCCACAGAAGAGTGTCACCAATCGTAACATAAACTCAGTTGGCTTCGGTGACATTGAAAGCAACTGAAATAAGAAACTCTTGATAATCAGAGAACTGAGACTTGTCTGAAAGAAAAATATTCAAGCTACTGCTGAAGGACATGGAGATACACAAATTTATATGAAGCTGACATTAACACTGTGATACTCAAAAGAGGAAAGTTCTAAGTGTTGGGCGGGAGAGGCCACCAGGTCTTTCACTTATCAGAGATGTCGTTGGCATTCATAAGAGGCCACAATTGTTTCCTGCTGTGCCACAGATCATTTAAACTATAAGAACCATAACTATCAGATCTATCATTCTGCTTTTTCCAACTAATCAACAAAAAGGAGTTTATAGCACGTCATGAACAACAGTAACAAATACAAAGATTTTGTCAAGAACATAAGCATAAAGCATCCAAGACAAGTATGTGCTTGTAATCTTGACGATGTTTTCACTCTTGACGATGCACGTAAACTCTACTCTGATACCAGAGTGAAAACAGCGGAACTTCCAAAAGATTGCAAGAAATAATAAGCACAAAAAACTAGAGAAAGCTTAAATTGCTTACAAAAGTTTGGGCACAAAGGTGAGTACAAGGATAGTTTCTTGCTCAAGTAAGGCTCTGGTGTTTTTCGACCGATGTCTTGCAAGAGCTCAGTTCTAA